TTTTTGAAATATTTCTCATGAATACTTTTCCGGAAAATTAAAATCCCATTTTGAACACAGCGTACCTGTCCACGACGCGCACGATGGCATAGATGTCACCGTGGGCGTGCTCGATGATCTCCGGCAGCGGGCGCACGTAGATCTCCGGGGCGTGCAGGTTGACGCGCTGCACGCGCACGCGTACGCGCGCCTGGCTCTTGTGCTTGGCGCCGAGCACCGTGTCGTCCTGGGCGCCGCGGTCGCGCGCCACCACCGTCAGCTCGTGGGCCGTCTGCTCGCTTAGCAGCAGCGGCCTGGTGACGGACACGACGCCCGTGGTCGGGTGCACTGCCCACTGCTCGGCCTGCCAGTCGCTCAGCGCGTAGTACACCTCGCCGTTGGGGCCCAGGTCGGCGTCCTCGGCGGCGACGCGCGCCACGCTGCTGTGTGGCGGCGCGTCCTCGGCCACCTGCACCTCGTACTCGGTGGGGTAGAAGAGCGGCGTGAGGTCGTTGACGTCGAGCACGCGCACATGGACCGTCGTGTTGGCCTCGAGCACGGCGCCGGTGGCGTTGCCGCGGAGGGTGCCCGTCGCGCGCACCACCAGGGTGTACTTGTCGCGCCGCTCGCGGTTCAGCACGTCCGTGTTGCCCGCGCGCGTGCGCAGCTGCAGGAAGCAGAAGTCGCCCACGACGCGCTCCTCGGCCTTGAAGAAGCGGTCGCGGTCGCCCGCCACGATGCGGAACACCACGTCGGGCGTGGTCGGGGAGGTGTCGCTGCTGACGGGCGCGCCGGGGCCCTCGAGCAGGATGCCCATGCGCTCCTCCGGCACCAGCAGCGTGCGACCGGGCGAGTTCTCCGGCACGGACGCCGAGTACGATTCGCGGGTGAACCGGAAGGGCGGCGGCTGGTAGCGCCGCGGCGGCTCGTCCGCGCGCACGCCGATCAGGGTGTGGCTGGGCGGCGGGGGCCGCGACGGACGCACGGCGGGCAGCGGGGGCAGCACCACCTTCTGCAACAGAGAGACCGAGCACTTAGAAACATGACCTCGGTAGTCAGGGGTACTTCACACGAAGAAAAATCAGTGGAAAATTGGGTTGGAAATTTCCAAAATTTTCCGGAAAATTTCCGACAGTTTCCGAAAATATATGGAAAATAACGGAAAACTCTCCAAAATCTGGTAAATTTTTCATTTTTTCCCGGAAATTTTCCGTCTTTACTACTTTTCCGGAAACTTTCCAGGGCTTCCAATCTTCGTGTACAGTTAAAAGAACTGAAAAATTTAGAATAAACCCGGAAAATTTGGGAGGAAAATCCCATCCTCCTTTCATCAAATTAAGAGAGCGTGTAGAAGGCGGTGATTGCTTGCGCTTGCAGTCATGATGGTAAAGGGAACCCTCGGCATCCGAACGCCTCATCACGTCTGCCGAAGGTACCCCCCTCCCCCACCCCAGCACCGCTGCAGTGTACGCGACAGTGCACGCGATCAAACGACGCCTCGAGGACGGTCCTCTCTCTCTCTGGAGTCCCTCGTTAAGGCAGAGCACGCCCCGAGCTCCATCACTTGCTCAGCTTCAGCTCGGCTTCAGCCCAGAGCCGTGTGCCCGCACGACCCCATTTACATCCCCCCTGTCACCAGCGATAATTATGCTACGAACGAGGGAGTTAAATGTTTATTGCTCGCGAATATAAAGTAACATTGTTCCTGACGCCCCCCCCCCTATACCTCCGCCGGTCGTTACACTTGTTTTGCAAGCAAGGCGGCGACACAGCCGGCGCTACAGCGACGACTCTCTCAATCCAGAGCCGCTGATTCGCACCCAAACTTTTTCTTTCTCTCGCCCCCCCCCCCCTTCAGCCATTCCCTTTACCTTGCCGGTCGGCTGCCTCGCCACCCCTTTCCCCCAACGAAGGGCGCTGGTGGCGACGTAATACATGCAATCGTGGACGGCAACTTCCGCGCCACCCGTCCCGCCCCC